ACAAGGAAAACAAAACTAATCACCTAAGGAATAGCTCAGTAGATTCATCTAAATAAAGGGATTTTTTTTATAGGAAAAAAGGAAAACAAAATGAAGCAAAAGAAATTTGAAAGCAATATAGAAAAGAGAATATGTTCTTATTGCAGCATATGGGACATATACATACATCGCACATATATTAGATTATTTCACATGTATAACAATGTTTAAAAACAACAAGGCATGTTCTAATACATAAATGAGCAGTGAGACTGTGGGGCATATTGGTAGGAAGAAACACACAATTCAAGCTGGTCAAGATCTGAAAGTTCACAATTCAGATGGATTCCCAAATAATGAATTAGAACAAAGAAATGCGATGTTTAATTTACTAATCATAACAACAAGTTGATTAGTAAAGATCAAGCAGGCCGTTATTGACAGTATTTGATGCATTGAAATAAGCATATAAAATGCAAACTTACAAAGTTTGAACATGATCCTGTGAACAAAAAACAACAAGTTGTTTATAAATACTTAAAATATTTCTAATAATCTCTCCACATATCATCGGCTATTTTTTGCCTTAGAATCTCTCCTCGTCTATACTCTTCATTATCATTTACAGGAGCTTCTTCAACATCTATCATCTGGTTCAAAACTTCCTGATAACTTGATTCATCTCTTTCATTTTCTATGCGAGCACGTCTTTCTTTGATAGTTTCAGAAGATAAACCACCAGCCCTGTCTTTCCCATAAATGATTTGCAAGTTTTCAAAACACGGTACAGGTTTGTAACGAAATTGTTTTGCTCCAGGATGTGCCTATTAATAGATAAAGAAAACACAAAATTATTAGTTGCACACAATATATTCCGTCACGGCTGTATTGGAGCTGTAGCACAAATAGCCATAGAAGGATACATCAATGCAGGTATAGAAAAGAGAATATTTGTTCAGTGCAGTTACAAGCAAAATTAAGGAGATGAGATGAGTGACTCTATATACAAAAACCGAGAGCTTGTTTTGGTTTGCTACCTCCTACGTACACATATTAGGTGAAAGTTTTGGGATCTCCATCACTTTGTTGAGTAAGTCGCTCCATAAGTAAGTTCCTATGTTCATCTTTTTGAGCTAAGATTGATCTATCTATATACTCCACTTGGTAGATATTAGTTGCCATAATAGCACTTGCATATGCTGCATATGCAGCCACAATCCCTGCTGAATATTTTATCTTTTTCCTTTGTATAGCCCATTCATCATCTTCTTTTGTCTACAAATTCAAACACTTACTATAGTAAGCACGTCACAATCATAACCAATTACACACTATAGTAAGCACGTCATAATCATAACCAATTACACACACACATACACACCGCTCTCTAGTTTTAAATTCGACATTATCCAATTACACACACAAACTACACCTTGTAATCTAATAATGTGACCAGAGAGTTTAAATTCCTCTTCTTAACACTTTCATTCTGTTGCAGCTACTTCACACACTCAAAGGGGACATTCATTTATTATTCCTTAGTGTCTCTCAAATTCCTCATCTTCAAACAGATATCACCAACAAATTAAACTTCAAAACCAACAAAAAAAAATATGAACAGAATTTACCTCGGATGAATTTGTATTCATGTTGACAGAGAGATCCAAGAGAAACCTGCAGTTGAATCTGGAGCGGTTCCGAAAAGATCAAAGATATCACCAAAGACAACCTAATTGCGAGTGAACAAAACAAAAACATCAATTCAGATTTAGTGATCATCGATTTTGCCATTAACTACAAAGCAAAAAAAGGAAAAAAAACATTTGAAAATTTCAAAAAACAAATAAAGAGCACCATCCTGAATAAACACTGATTAAAAATGAGAAAGCCCTTGTCACATTGCAATTTGAGATATTTCAGTATATCATACAAACTGATGACAAGGATGGGGGGGAATGGAGAATTTGAAGAGGTGCTACTTTGCTCTTTGTTTAATTTCAGCTGCTTTCCCCCCCTTCCTCTAGTTTCCCAAGTTCATGGTCAGTTGTAAATTAAAAACAGCATAAATTTACCTATAATCACTCCATTGATGCGGCTTCAAATAGCATTAATCAGAATACTGATCATAAAGTCCATTACTGTTCTTTTTCAGGTATTCAACTGATTATGGCATGTTCAGCTTTTGTGTAGCTGACACTGAGCATGATTGGAGACCAGGGACAGAGCAATATAAATTCATTGAGCATTGCTTCTCAACAGCTGATAGACAAAAACAACCATGGCTCATTTTCTTTGCACATCGGGTTCTTGGTTATTCATCCAATGAATTCCCATTTCGCGTATGGAGTTTCTTTATGTGGTGTTATTTTAGGATAAACGACACAGCATCCTTATTTAACAAATAAAGAGTGATTTAAGTAGCATAGACACTTATCCAGCTCTTCAATAGACACACACAAAAAAAAAACTATTATAATTTATAACTGAAATTTATAACACTAAGCATTTACAAGCCAATAACTGAAAATTTGCAGATAACAAGAACTTAATAATACTCAAAATTTGCAGATAACAAGAACTTAATAATACTTTCTCGAGATTCATTCAAATAGAACTGCATGAGAAGCATAATTAGGAGCATTTTGGATCGAGACCAAAACAGTACTGAGAAATAAACTAAATGTGGGAATAACCAAAATCCTCTTCATGAAATTAGCTAAAATTTTAAGATCTATTCCCTCACAATTGTTGACTAAATTGCTTGGATCCAAAATCGCAGCATACCAATCCATTCAAAATCTCGATCAGAATCTCATATTTCCATCAGATCGCTGGGTATACACAATATTCCCATAACGAACAATCGATTCAAAATCTGTACGAACAATATATTGGAAACAATAACTAGGGTTTCTAAGGTCTTGTTCAGACCTTACCTCGGCGTCAGCGTCGGCTCGACAGCGGGAGGCGGGAGGCGGGAGGTGGGAGCCGAGGATGCGTCGGCGTCGGCTCAACAGCGGGAGGCGGGAGAGATCAGGATCGGGATCGCCGCGATCGCGTCGGGGGATTTTTTCCGAGAGAGAGAGAGGGGACTCGAGTTTGGCGACGAGGAGAGATCGGGATCGTCGTGATCGCGTCGGGGGATTTTTTCCGTCTCTCTCCCTCGTTTTCACAGGGGCAGCGGAGAGAAATGGGGAAAGAAAAAGTAGCGCTCTGTTTTTCTGCAGTGAAAATGATTTTCGTTTTCTTTTTTGTTTTCTTTTAAACCAAACACCAGAAACTCACTTTCTCTTTTATTTTACTTTCCTTTCTCCCCCTTTCTCTCAAACCAAACATAGCCTTTGTGAAAGACCTATTTTAGGACGCAACATTTGATAGACTAGATTCGCCACCTCCATAATGTAATCTGGAGGAACGTCTGATTCTTTGCAAAATTGATTATAACCATCTATGCCGACATGTGTTAAACAAAAAATTTCTTTATGACGATGCTCTATCTTGCAGACAATACATTATTGAAAGGACTCTAAGGTTAAACATAGTTAACATTACTTTTCTTGATTCAGGTAAAACTTTAAACTTTAAACCATGTTGATGCAAGAAGCTCCTCTAATTCTCAAATATATCCCAACCCTAAAAGAGTTACTTGTGTGTGACTAGGTGGGTGGCTGTGCTGCTGTGCATGCTGGTGGAATGATACTAGGAAGGCTCGTTTTAAGTTTTTTAAGGTTTTTATATGAAAACTATCTTAACTTCTGCTTAAATTACAATTTACCATCTTTATTTATTTATGTTTAAAATAGAGAAGAGGAATGGGGAAAGGAGGAGGAAATTAAGTTGGCAGGGTTGGTGGCAAGGGAGGAGTAAAGGAGGTCGGCGGCGAGAGTGAAGAGATAGAAGGCAAAGGAGGGGGAGGAGGAGAAGAAGGAGGTGAGGAATGTGAGAACGGAGGAGGAGGGGAGAAGGAAAGGGAGGTGGAGGGGTATGAGAGGAAGGTTAAGGTTTGGAGAAACCCTAAAAATTAATGGAGGAGGTGGTGGAGGAGGATGTGGAGGGGAAGAGGAGGGGAAAGGGAGGAGGCGGAGTGGCCATTGATAGAGAGGGATGAGAGGAGAAAAGAATATAAGGTTTGGTGAAATCATAGAGTTACAGGAGATGGCGGAGGAGGTGGAGGAAGAAAAGATTGACAGAAGAGGAAAGGGATGAGGTGCAAGAGGACAAGGAGGGGAAAAGGGGAGGCAGTGCATGGGTGGTGGAGAGAGTAGGGAAGGAAGGTGGAGAAAGGAGACGGTAAAGTGGGTATTTTTTTTAAAGCTGAATAATAGCAAATGTGTGACATTGAGAACATGTAAGCAAACTAATGTTGTTTACATAAAAAAACAAATAAAATGGTACGTTATAATTTGAGCAAAAGTCAAAATAATTTTCACATAAAAACCCATTTTTAGATGAACTCACGTACTAACTAGTTGGCCTTTTGCTAGAATTTAACTTGAATGTTTTTTAGTAGGTTGAAAACATTTGGTTACGCCATTAGCAGACATTTGGGGTTCTTTTAGCACGCTCAAAAAATTAAGGAGGTTAAGTAACATATTTACTTATTATAGCACTCATTCTAAGTAAGCCAAACGATAGCAGTTATGTGAAATTTGCACTTGTATTTTTCTGGCCTTCATGTGAAGATTTTCAGTTGATCAAA